AGAAAGCCGGCAATAGCATATCTCCATATCTCAGTGTTGGATTGTTTAGCCAGAATCCACAGGGCACTGAATTTCACCCCCAATATATATATATAATAGTAATAGTAAGATGGGTGATTTACAGCATGATTGGTTCCTTGGGAGAGACTGTCCCAGGCCGCTTATCCTCTTGGGGTTAGTGACCTGTGTGCTTCTTTTATCTATAGGAACATCACCCATCTCTGCCTCTGTACACAAGTCTGTGTCCACATTCATCCATGTACAAGGTCACCAGTCCTTTTAAGATAGGGCCCTGGCCGGGCGTTGGTGGCGCACGCCTTTAATCCCAGCACTTGGGAGGCAGAGGCAGGTGGATCTCTGTGAGTTCGAGGCCAGCCTGGTCTACAAAGCAAGTTCCAGGAGAGCCTTCAAAACAATACAGAGAAACCCTGTCTCGAAAAACCAAAAAAAAAAAAAAAAAAAAGATAGGGCCCTGTGTCTTCGTGGGTCACTTGCTGAGGAACATAGGGGAGGGTTATCACACAGACAGTAGATGCAGCTCTAGTGGGATCTTCTGGGGAGGCGGGCTTCTTGGTCACACTGCCGTCTTTTTATCTCCTCTGTCTATCTGCTTCTGGAAGCAGGCTCTTTACAGCTGTCATGCCCATGGTGGCAGCCGGATTGATCCTTGATGACCCCACGTTGCAGCCTGTGCGAAGACTCGTGTCCCTTGTAGGCACTGTCTGTGTTTGGGGTTTTGTTTTGTTTTTTGTTTTGTTTTGTTTTTTCTTTTTTGCTGTGCATTTAGAATGGCTGTGGTAGCTGCTGCCAGCCTGTCCCTTCTGGCCACTTCAGTTGCATGGCCGTCACCTGCTTGTTGGCATCTCAAGTGGGAATGGAGTGTGATTGCCACTGTGGCCCTTGACCTCCACGAGTGCAGCTGGGAATGTCACCGATAATTCTTTTTGTCTCTTCTGTTTTCGCTCTAAAAACCACCTTGTCCATGATCCAGTAAAGAAGATTCTTTAGGTGACGGGTCAGTAACCAGTGCCCCCTGGGGATCCGAGCGTGACACTAACTGCTTGTCTCCAGCTTTCTAAACAGCTTTGTCTTGGCAGCTGTTTGGTTTGGTGCAGAAAAATGGGGGCGGGGGAGCTGGTTTCTGCAGGTGGCTTCCCTAAGTCAGGCTGAGACCTTAGCAGGGGTGAGTCTGCAGTGGTGGGCAAACTAACTCAATGCCTGCTGTGTGAGAACGAGCCCTCCCCTGTTCAGCCTGAGCCCACTCACACTTGCCCTTGAAAGCCCTAGAGAATTTCCCCAGGTGAACTCGGCTTAAGGATGAAAGAACATTCTATTCCTGCTAGAAAGGGAGTGTGGTTCCAGTAACCCTGGAAAGGCAATATCCTCTTCTCTAGACGTGAGTGATTGTAACAAAACCCCTCAGACTGGGGAGTCGGCCGATGTGAGGACCTGAGTTCAAATCTCCTGGACCCGTGTAAAGTCAGATCTCCAAGCATGCTCCTAGAACCCCAGCTCTCCTACTGAGGACCAGGAGAGAGGTGATGGCAATAAGAGGGGTGAACAAGAGACCAGTCTCAAAGTTTAGGGGGCTTGCAGGATGACTCAGCAGGCAAAAGTGCTTCCTGCCCACCATGACTACCTGAGCCTGACACAGGAGGATCACAAATTAAAAGTCAGCCAGGGCCTGGCGGTGGTGGCGCACGCCTTTAATCCCAGCACTCGGGAGGCAGAGGCAGGCGGATCTCTGTGAGTTCGAGGCTGGGCTGGACCGACAGCCTCCAAAACAATACAGAGAAACCCCATCTCGTAAAAAACCAAAAAAAAAAAAAAAAAAAAAAGTCCGCCAGGTCGATCTGGCAAAGTCTTATAAGATTAATATCAATGGCCCGAGGGTTGGTGAGATGACTAAACATGAATGCAGCTAAGCCTGAGGGCCTAGGTTCAATACCTGGGACCAAAGATGGAGTGGATGGAGAGAACTGATTTCCTCAAGTTGACTTTAGACCTACACACACACACACAACACACACACACACACACACACTCACACACAGAAATTGTGGTTTGGTTGTAGAACACTAGTCACATGTAGCACGTGTGACGGATGGCTCAGTGGATTAAGGCACTTGCCACTAAGGCTGAGAACCGGAGTTCAACTCCTGGGACCCACACAGTGGAAGAAGAGAACTGACTCCTACTATCTGCCCTCTGGCATCCTTATAGGAGCCATGTCATTTGACTGCCCACACATATATTCACATGAATGAATGAATATTAAGGATGCGTTTGCCTCAGAATCCTCTTCCTCACAACATTCAGGTTCTTTCAAAGCATCATTAGATTCATTAAAGAAATTACTAGGCTGGGGCTGGGTTCAGTAGGGAGAGTGCTTGCCTAGCATGCACAAGCCCAGGGTTTGCTCTCTAAATGACTCCCGAAGGCCCAGTGCTTTGTAGAACTCTGCTGACTGCATCCTCCATACTGAGAATGGATCTGCTCCCCTTGGTGTTTGCTCCTGTGCGTCCTAGCCTTGGAGCTAGGTGGAGCAGCAGAGGACAAGCACTTACTTCCATCTTTGTTTTCCTTTTCCCCTTCCAAAAGGTTTAGCTTTTTCTCCCGGGACAAGAAGCGCCTGGCCAACATGCAGAGACCCGCGCACATCCACGAGTCCTTTGGCCACTGGGCGAATACTCAACGAGATGACGGGTACACAGAACAAGGACAGGAAGCCCTACAGCACCTGTGACTGTGACCCCCCTGGGCCGCCTGCCACCTGCTCCGGGTGGCTGCCTCAACATCGACCCCTCAAATGAACTGTCTGCTTTGAGGGTGATGAAAAAACCTGATGCCAAAATCTAAAGAAGTGTCTATTTATCTGCAGGGCTATCCAGTTTATACTCAAGGCCTCTGACCCCTTAGAACCTATATTTAATAGGACAAGGATCTGAAGCCAGACCTTGTTAATCTTAATAACAAGCTTCCTAGGCCGAACACGTCACTTACCACTGTCATGGCTATTTGACTCCTAGGTTTAGTTGTTTTGTTTTCTCAAGGCCTTTGTCATGTTAGTGAGAGGCAGTGGAAGGGGAGTTTTATATTACGCAGTTGCCCTGCAGGTAGCAGGTGGTGGAGGATGTTTGGAGCGGTCAGGCAGAGCCTCTAGTCTTAGGGAGAGCCACCCGACTTGGACGGGACCCAACAGAAAGTCATCACAACCTTGGGATTGTCACTTTGCTGTTCCTGGTGAGGCTAGAGGCCCAAACAGCCTGTCCGAGGTGGTGTGCCTTCAATCTGCTGTGAGCTACACAGTACTAACCAAACAAAGTTGTCTAGGATGAGACATCGAGTGTTTGCTGTGTGCGTTTTTCCTGTCACCTTTGTTCCTTGTGTGAAATTCTGGGTCCTGTGCAAGAAGACAGTGTCTTAAAGGAGACTGAGTGCCAGGCTCACGAGCCTGGGCGATATGATATGGCGGGTGAGGAGGACCGATGGGTGGAAGGGCATCCGGTAAGCAGGGGCTTGGGGACCACATGCTTAGCTGACCCACGGTTGCCATGGCCACTGGAGGCTGGCCCATGTACTTCTGATGCAGAGCACTTGGGGTTAAGGGCTTCAGAGGGCAGCACTTCCTAAGATCATATGGATGATGGGACCATGCCTGTGTGCATTGCACTATTTTTGTTGAGACTGAAGCTGAGCGTGGGGTACATGCCTATAGTCACACTGTGGCTCCAAGGTAAGTGACATCAGAAGTTCCAGCCACTTTCTGACAGTAAGGAGATAGAAAATTCAATGGCACCTTTTTTTGGGAGGGGGCTAGGACTTCTTATATGGCCCTAGCTGGCCTCAGACTCTCCCCTCCCCTTCAAGACAGGCTTTCTCTGTACAGCTTTGGAGCCTATCCTGGAACTCACTCTGTAGACTAGGCTGGCCTCAAACTCAGAGATCCACCTGCCTCTGCCCACTAGTGCTGGGTCTAAAGGCGTGCACCACCACTGCACTGCAGCAGAGGCAGGCGGATCTCTGTGAGTTTAAGGCCAGCCTAATCTACAAAGCTACACAGAGAAACCCTGTCAAAAAAGGGGGAAGGGATTTGATTTTATCCTTTTATGTTTATAGGAATGCCTCCATGTGTGTATGTGAGGCCTAAGGCCAGAAGAGAGTATCAGATGCCCTAGAACTGGAATGAGACATTTATAAGCTGTATGTGGTGCTGGGCTAAGCCCAGGTCAAATGTAAGAACAGCTTGTGCTCTTGGATGCTGGCCTTCTGTCTCTCCAGTCCATGTAGCATGTACCGTGCTCTGAGCTGTCTTGCTAGCTCCCCAGTGGCAATGTTTATCGACTGAAACTGCACGGGATTTCAAACAGACCAAACTGCCCGCACCTGCCTCCCAAGTACCAGGAGGCACTCAGCACACCTGGCTAAACACTGGGTCACTGAACCCTAGCTGCCCAGCAAACCAGATTCTAGATGGTTAGGAAGAGAGAAGGGTCATGTCCCTCCCATCCTTTCATCTCACTTCTCTTGACCTTTCTTCCCAAAGGGCTGAAAGCCTCAGATCACAGCCCTGCAAGACTACTTTCACTGTAAATGCCAGTCAGGGGAAAGCAGGCAGTCATCATTTTTGCAGGGAGCGGGTTATGCTGACTTGAGCAGCTGCCTGCTGACCCAGATGCCTAGCATGCTGTCTGGTTATCACAGACTGGACAATTCTCCTTGGCCTTGGCTTTTCTAGCCTGTTTTTATGTTAATTCAGCAAACATGAAGATGGAAAAGACAATGCATCCCACGAATCAATGTCAGTGTTACATCTAATTCTTGTAGGTTATTGAAACAGGGTCTTACTTTGTAACCTAGGCTGACTTCAAACTCTGAATCCTCCTACCTCAGCCTCCCCAGTGCTAGGATGAGGGTGTATGCCACCACACCAGGCTGTTGAAGGGCTTAAACCATCCTCTCTGCCACATTGAACCCCACCTTAAAGGGTATTAAGTGTATGAAAGTGAGGACAAATTCTTTATTATCCCCTTTCTTTCGTTTGATACTCCTGCTTCCATCTCCCAAGGACTGGGATGACAAACATTCTCTATGTCCACATGACATGAGTGGCTTATATACCTGTTTCTCCCTCCCATCCTCTGCGGCCCTGTAGGGGAGCGCCTGCCTAGCATGCTTGTGCTCTCCAGTTCAAGCCTCAATGCTGCAAAAGCATGGCCTCTCTTAGGTCTCCTGACTCTGGGTTCTGTACTGGAAAGGGAATTGTCCCAGTCTGACAATGGCCCACCCAGGGGCCTCTGGGTAAGCCTAGGCTGGCTGCTGTTGGCTCTACTTACTTCGGTCCCTCTTGTCTCTGCCTTTGACCCTGTCCTCCCTGAACTCCCTCTCTCTTTCCCGATCGTTCTCAGGCCACACCCTGGCCATCTCCCTCTCTTGCCAGCGTTTCTCTCGGCCCCTGTCATGGTCCCGCTCCCTGGGCCTGGGGTCCCAGTGTCTGTCCCGGGATCGAGAGCGCTCCCTCCTTTCTCTTTTCCCTTCTCTATGCGGCTCATTCTTGACAACTGGCAAGTTGATGGGCTTCCGGAAAGGCCGATCCCGGCCCCCGAACCTCAGCTGCCCAGATTCCTTTTTCCCACCTAGCCCACCACCCAGCCGCCGAGGGATCCAGCCACGGAGGGTGCGCTCCAGCTCATAGTCCACGAATATCTCGTGCTGGTCAATGACCAGGCCATCAGCATCACGGTAGGCCTTCAACAGGGCCCGCTCCTCCTTGTACTCAATGAAGGCGTAGCCCTTGGAGAAGCCAGTCACCAGGTCCCGAACCAGCCGCAGCCGCCGGATGTCACCATATCGAGAGAAGACCTCCTTTAACTTTTCCTCTTTGGTCTGCAAGTTTAGTCGTGCCACAAACAGGGTCAGGAGGGGGTCTCCAGTAACACCTTTGTTGGGTACGTAGCGGGCCAGCATGGCCCTCCACACAGCCCGGTCATGAGGGTCTTCATCCGTGCCATCGATGCTGCCAGCCTTCAGCGGGTCATATTCCTTGGCAATGGGCATCCAGTCACTCATGTTCTAGAACAGTAACAGCAAGCCAGTGTGAATCACCTGTCTTCTCCACAGCTGTGGAAAGCAGTAGAGATGAAAATATCAAAGTCATCCTGGGCTAGTTCAAAGCTGAACATTACACAGCCGTCTACTGAATTATAAAAAGGAGGATTATACCAACTTGTCACTCACAAGCAACAAAGCTGCCTCCCTGGTTTCCTTATCAGTAAAAGGACGGTACACAGCCAGACAACAGAAGGACCACAAGTGACAGGCTTCCCTGGGTTCTGGCTTTCTAACCACTGTCATCTTTTTCTCCCTAATTGTGTGGAATTCCTTCAGGTGAGAACCAGAGGAGTCTTGTTACCACCATTTCTCCCTGCCCTAATATTCTCTGGAGATCCTTCGTACTGAGCCATGAATTCTTGGAAAGAAAACTGAGCTCTCCTTCCATTGTAGCGTAGCTGGTAGAGCTCTCCCTGTGGGAGATCCAGCAGCTAGCACTGGGGTTTTAGCACGTGTGGTGCTGAGCTCCGAACTCTCACCTGGCAGCAATACAAAGTCAAGATGGAGTGCCACCAGTGTCACTTCAGATGAGGTCAGACTCCAGCAGGTTTTCTGGTCTTAAAACTAAGAAGTACACCAGTAAGGGAGTCAAACCAGGGGCTTCAAGTCTACTCTTTTTTTTTTTAAAGATTTATTTATTTATTACGAACACAACACCCTGCCCATGTATGTCTACACATCAGAAGAGGGCACCAGATCTCATTACAGATGGTTGTGAACCACCATGTGGTTATTGGGAATTGAACTCATGATCTCTGGAAGAGCAGTCAGTGCTCTTAACCTCTGAGCCATCTCTCCAGCCCTCAAGTCTACTCTTCACCACTTCCTCGTTGCTCTCATAAAAAATGAAAGGCTGTATCGAGGTGGGGTGTTGCATACCTCTCGACCAGGCACTCAGGATGTGATCATGAGGCCAGCCTTGGGTTTCAGAGGGAGACCCGGGGGTCTTCCTGGTCTACCTAGTGAGTCACTATCTCAAAAAGAAAAAAATGCAGGCTTGCCTTGAACTCAAAGAGATCCTCCTGCCTCTGTGGTGGGGTTAAAGGCTTATGTTGTTACACCAGGCGGCACTTTTTCTCTTCCTACTTAAGGAGCTGCCAGTAATTTCAGCTTTCTGCCCTGTTTTTTTTTTTTTTTTTCTTTTAAAGTCAAACAAAACTACCCTGGAATTTAAAACGAAAGAGATACAAGATCTCACACAGCCCAGGCTAGCTTTGACATTCCTATATAGATAGTCAAGGATCCTCAACCTCTGGTCTTCCTGCAACCAAGTTTAATGGGTGCTGGAGACGGAACCCAGGGCTTCTTGCACGCTAGACAACCAAAGGAGCTACATCCCATCCCGTCACTGAACTGTGGGGTGGAGTCTCTTATAATTAATTATAGCACAAATCAAGTTTCAGGGGTTATTTTTATGTTTTGTTTTCTGAGACAGGGTCTCACTATGTAGTCCTGGTGCCCTGGAAATCTCTATATACACCAGGGTGTCCTCGAACTCCGAGAAACCTGCCAGCCTCTACCTTTCAAACGCTGGAATTAAAGGCGGGTTATATTGTTTCTTTCGAGATTGGGCATAAAGAAGCCAGGGCTGGCGGGGCGACTGGTCTGGGGTTCAGGCTCATCTTTGATTACCTAATATGTTGGAGGGCAGCCCGAGACGCGTGAGCTCTCCACCTTTAAAAAAAAAAAGTGTCCTCACCAGAGGTGGGTAGGTCTCAGAAACTTGAGAAACGGCAAGCGCTCTCCCCGGAAAACCCGAAGAAAAGCGACACAAACAGCCGCGTCAATCAACCCATCCCAGGCATGCGCAATGGCGCTGAGGAAGCCAGGGCGGAACTGCCGGTAGGAAGCTGGTTCCGTGATCCCCAGGCTGGGGCTAGGCCCTGACGGGTCCAGGAGTCTGGCTCGCCCGCCGCTCCTCCGAGGCCCGACCTCCCACCAACCCTCAGTCCCACTCCCACCTCCCGGCCTCCTCCTCTGCCAGGCTTCAACATGGCGTCGGCCACGCGCGGACGTGGCGCCTCGCAGGACTGCCGGACCATTCTCTCCGCCTCCTGGCGTTGACCCTGTTCCCTCCGAGCTTCTTCTACTCACCTCGGCAAGTCCTGGGTTCTTTCCACGCCGAGACGAGACAGGCCGTTCCCAAGACACGACGGCCAGCAGCGACTCAGGAGTCTTACGCCGACCTCCACCGAAACTCTTTATTGGCAGCAGCAGATTCGCCACAAACCTTGAGCTGCTTTTTTGTTTTGCTTTCAGAGACAGGGACTCAGTATGTAGTCCTGGCTGCCCTAGAACTCACTCGTAGATCAGGCTGGCCCCGAACTTGAAAAATCCGCCTGCCCCTGCCACCTGAATCCTGGGATTAAAAGCGTGGGCCCTTCTCCCGGCTCTTGAATTACTTAAAAAAAGAAGTTATATACATCCAGCATATTGAAATGGATATTTTAAGGATAAGAAGACTTCGGTTTGTTTGTTTTTCATAACGATAAAAACTTAAATTTAGTCGCTTTACTACCGAATGTGCAGTTAGTTGTCAGGAACCAGTTTACCTTGCGAATCTGTTTATATTGGATTCTCTCCTATAAAATGTTGGTGACCTTAATGTGAAGTTATTTCTTCCATTCCCATTGTTTTACCAATCTCTAGACTTAGTAACTCCACTTTTAGTATTGGGCGTGGTGTGCACACCTGTAGTCTCAGCACTTGAGAGTTTGAGGCAGGAGGATTGCCAGTTACAGGCTGGAAAGTTGGTTCGGGATTGAGAGCTGGCTGCTGTTACAGAGGACCTGGGTTCGCTTCCCAGCACCCACATAGTCGGTTGCTGACAGCAGTCTGTAATTTCAGTTCCAGACAATCCAACGCCCTCTCTGGTTTCCCAGGGCACTGCAAACACAAATAAATTAATCTTTGAATGTTAAAGAAAAAGGCAACCAAAAGAGAAAAAAGTATCTTTCAGCCTCATTTCCCTCCCTTTTTCCCTTACAATCCTCCTCCTTCAGTCTCACAAGTCCCAGAATCCAGGCCTACAATTTTGAGTGGTTGACCTGAGCATTTGTGTGTGTGTGTGTGTGTTTTTTGTTTTTTTTTTCGAGAAAGGGTTTCTCTGTGTATCCCCTGGCTGCCTTGGAACTCACTCTGTAACCCAGGCTACTCTCAAACTCTCAGAAATACTCTTGCTGCTGCCTCCTGAGAGTGTGCACCACCACCACTGGGCTGCCTTGTGGCTCTTTATTAACTGTTGGGTGATGAAGGCGGGCTGGAACCACCTGGCCTAGATCGCAGAGATTTAAAAACAAATAATTGCCAGGCATGGTGGCACATGGCTTTAATCCCAGCACTCAGGAGGCAGAGACAGGTGATTCTGTGAGTACCAGGTCAACTTGGTCTACAAAGTGGTTCCCAGGACAGCCAGGGCTACACAGAGAAACCCTGTCTTCAAAACAAATCAAAAAAGGAAAAAGAAAAGAAAAACCAAGAAGCCAGTTACTATTGATGTACAGAAATGCAAAGCATGTGCTCCAGACAGCACCTGGGTCCTCCCCCTAAGAGCTTAACTAAAGGTGGACTCCACGGTCTAGGAAAGTTCCACAGTCCTGGCCGTTTTCCTGCATGAATGAACATGGTGTCTAGAACCCAGAAAAGCTACTCTGAAGGAGCCACTCAGAAAAGAGCTGGTGTCAGAGAGTCAGGGGACCTGAAGAATACACCCACTTGCTGGTGGAACGTTCCTGTTTGTGGGTGTCAGGACCAAACATCTCCAGTTCCACTGAGATCATGTGTGACCCCCACCCACTTGCTCTCATTTTCTATTTCAACCTTTTTCCTGTCTGTTTTAGCTCTCAAGGGGATAGTGGTTTTGAAAAGCAACAACAGCAGCAACAGAAAAGCAAAGTTATCGAATTTCTGAAGGACGGCAGGGCATATGGGGGGAGGGGAGAGAACAGGTTGGGCAGGCAGAGGAGGAGAGTACACACCCAAGAATGGTGTGGACTTCTCGAGATGGAGGGTTGCCTCGAAATTGGTGTGTTTTTTGTTTCATTTTATTTATTTATTTGCTCATTTGTTTTTGAGACAGGATCTTAACAATATTTCCTGGAACTCACTCTGCAGACCAGGCTGGCCTCAAACTCAGAGATCCGCCTGCCTCTGCCTCCCGAGTGCTGGGCATAAAGGCGTGGGCCACCAATGCCCGGCTGTTACAGACATGCCGTATGTGTGCTTCTTTGTGGCTTTTGTTTGTTTTGTGGCCCTAGGGTTGACCCCCAGGACCTTGCTAGGTGGGTGTTCCGCTATTAAACTACATCCCAACCTCTGTTGTTTGACTTTTTATTTCAGGAGAGGATCTCACTTAGTTGCCTAACTAGACTCTAACAAACTCGATAGCGCAGGAAGGCTTTGAAGTTGGAATCCTCCTGCCTCAGCCTGCCAAGTACCTGAGGCTTGAAGTCTGGACCACCAAAACTTGTAATGCATACTTTGTTTGTTTATTCTTCTATGTCTGTTACTGATCCAGTTGTTATTGCCCAAATAATTACACAGAGCTGAAATTTTTCTTTTTTCTTCTATTTGGCAATGAAAATAGCTTATGATTAAAATAACACTGGTCAGCCAGGCAGTGTTGGCTGTGGTGGCACACAACTTTAATCTCAGCAGAGGCAGGTGGATCTCTGAGTTTGAAGCGAGCCTGGTCTACAGAGCAAGTTCCAGGACAGCCAAAGAAACCCTGTCTCGAAAAACCATAAATAAAATAGCACTGGTTGAATACTTCATCTCTGTCATATGAGCCCTCAATAATCCACAGCAATCTTCTAAAACATCCTTATTCCCATTTTACAGTTGGGAAAACTGAGCCCCTAAGTCAGGAGTAATGTTCTTACCTAACTACAACACGGCCCCCATGTAGCAAAGCCAAGTTTTGGACCCTTGTACTCTACTACTGTCTGGATGGATGCACCATCAGTATGGATTCCAAATATTGTCCTGTGTAGTGGCTCACACCTGTAAGATCAACAACTCTCAAGAAGATAAGGCAGGAGGATTGCCATGAGTTTGAGAATAGACTGGCTAAATAGTGAGTCCCAGGCCAGAGAGAGGTTACAGAATGAGACTATATAAATAAAAACAAATATACAAATGATTGAGAAAAAAAAAAAAAACGAAAACCGGTGTTACCTAGAGGGCTTTTTGATGAAAACACTGCTGTGGCAGCCTTGGTGTTTCTGAGTCAGTGAGTGGAGAAGTTGCATCTGCGGCTTTGGTGCTAAGAACCCCACCTAGGGCTCTGCATACTCACATGTTACTCTGTAGCGCTTGTTCCCCGACCAGGCTACTTTTTTTTTTTTTTTTTTTTTTTTGGTTTTTCGAGACAGGGTTTCTCTGTGGCTTTGGAGGCTGTCCTGGAACTGGCTTGGTAGTCCAGGCTGGTCTCGAACTCACAGAAATCCGCCTGCCTCTGCCTCCCAAATGCTGGGATTAAAGGCGTGCGCCACCACCGACCAGGCTACTTTTACGTTCCCACAATTTCCATTTCCTTCCAAATGGGTCCTAGGGCCTTGGGAGATGCTTCAGTGGGTTAAAAAAAACACTTGAAATCCCTGAACACACATAAAAAACAGGTGCTTTGGTGGTGTCCAACTCTGTAATTCCAATTCCCCTGTGGAGGACAGGAGACAGAATCTGCAAAAGCTTGCCAGCCAGCTAACTGGCCTATGCCATGCAAAAACAAGAGCCCTGTCTTTGTTTTTTTGGAGGGGTTTTGGTCTTTGAGTTTTTGTTTGTTTGTTTTGTTTTTTGGGGGGGGGGTTCAAGGCAGGGTTTCTCTGTGGCTTTGGAGGCTGTCCTGGAACTTGCTCTTGTAGACCAGGCTGGCCTCGAACTCACAGAGATCAGCCTGCTTCTGCCTCTGGTGTGCTGGGATTAAAGCTGTGCACCACTGCCCAACTTTTTTTTTCTTAATTCATCATTTTTTTATGTGCTTTCAATTTTTTTTTTTTTTTGGTTTTTCGAGACAGGGTTTCTCTGTGGCTTTGGAGGCTGTCCTGGAACTCGCTTGGTAGTCCAGGCTGGTCTCGAACTCACAGAGATCCGCCTGCCTCTGTCTCCCGAGTGCTGGGATTAAAGGCGTGAGCCACCAACGCCCGGCTGTGCTTTCAAATTTTTGTTTTTGTTTTTTGAGACAGGGTTTCTCTGTGGCTTTGGAGGCTGTCCGGGAACTAGCTCTTGTAGACCTGGCTGGCCTCGAACTCACAGAGATCCGCCTGCCTCTGCCTCCCAAGTGCTGGGATTAAAGGCTTGTGCCACCAACGCCCTGCTGTGCTTTCAGATTTTGCCTGCAATGCAAGTTATATGCACTATGTGCATACTGGTGTCAGAGGAGGCCAGGAAAAGGTGTGAAATCATTAGGGACTGGAGTTACACATGGTGTGGGTGCTGGGAATCAAACCCTGGTCCTCTAGAAGAGCAGTCAGCTCTCTCAATTGCTAAACCATCACTCCAGTCTCCCTGTCTGTTATTGTGAGACTGGGTCTCACTGTGGAGCCTTGGCTTAAATGCAACATGTTAAATCAAGCTTGCTACTCCTGCCTGTCTCCTGAGTGCTGGAATTAAAGGGATATACCACCACACCAGCCAAATCTTTGGTTTTGATATCAAAAGTATCGATCCTCAACGGAATGCATTTTGTTATTTTGTTCTTGTTTTTGTTTGCTTGGCTGGTTTTTTTTTTGTTTTTGTGTAGCTCTGGCTGTCCTGGAACTTGCTCTGTATATCAGGCTGGAACTCACAAAGGAGGGCACTGCGAAGCCACTCCTTGTTTCACTCTTGAGGAAGCTCCTCTAAGTTTTAAAGAGAACAAGGCCGGGTCCTGTTTAGAACTTCACAGACAGATTGTTGCTATCGAATAATGCTCTCCCTCCCACCTCGAGGTCTGACCCCAGCCATGAAGCCCTTTCTTAGATCGCATCTGATTGAATGGAACTGTGCCCTGCACCTTTTCTTTTACTTCTTTTTAATAACAGGAAGCTGATTGCCCTTCCCTGCCTGGGAACTCCTCTATTCTGACATTTTCTAGAAAACAAGTCGTGTGTACGTGACTTTTTGTGCCGGCTTCTTTCCCTTTAGCAACCCGTTTTTCAAGGTCTATTCACGATGCAGAGGAGTCGGCTCTCTGCATTTCCTTGCTCACATGTATTGAGATATAACGGGGTAGCCAACAAGATAGCTAGCTGAGTGCTAGAGGCCCCTGTTGCCATGCTCCACCAAAGCCCAGCTCAGCGGCTGCCGGCTGTTTTTTGCTACACAATTTAAAAAAAAAGAAACTTCAATAGAGACCTGGATTTCCCCTCCCCTAGCATGCAAATTCGATAGCTGGAAAGCTCCAGTTTTGCAAAATGAAAAAGTTGTGAGCTTTTTTTTTTTTTAACCCTCTTTCCATGACCACCCTGGAAAGTCCGCCCCGGTGTCTATAGCAACCAGGCTTCTCACGCGCCCGTCACCAAGGGCGGAGCTACGGGCGGCTCCTCCTCCGCGGGCTAGCGCAGGCCTCTGGTCCTCTCGTGCTGCTGCCTCGTCTCTTTTCTCGCTGCTTTGCTTCCCACGGCCCCTTAGCCGTGTCCCCTACATCTGGCGCACGGCTGTGCGGCTGCGCGTGGTTTTCCGTGGTGTGGTGCTTCCCGCGACTCGGAGCATTCTTCCGGGGCCACCCAGACTGCACACGACGTGGACTTGGCCCAGCGCTAAGTTTTCTTAACCCAAAGACAGTGGACGTGTAGGTAGTGACAGCAGCCCCGGAGGTCGCCGAAGTCGGGGGCACCATGGAGGAGCCCCCTGTGCGGGAGGAGGAGGACGGGGAGGACGACGAAGGCGCCCTGGCCAAGAGTCCCCTGCAGCTGACCACCGACGACGTGTACGACATCTCCTACGAGGTGGGCCGCGAGCTGATGGCCCTGGGCAGCGACCCCCGAGTCACCCGGCTGCAATTCAAGATCGTGCGTGTGATGGAGATGCTGGAGGCGCTGGTGAACGAGGGCAGCCTGGTGGCCGAGGAGCTGAGGATGGAGAGGGACAACCTCAGGCAGGAGGTGGAGGGGCTGCGGAGAGCCGGTGTGTCCGGAGGCCAGGTGAGCAAAACCCAAGCCTCAGTTTGGAAGTATTCCCACAGTCAACATTTATTGAGCACCTACTAAATGTCAGACCCTGCAGTGTTCCATGTCAGTAGCCTACTGCTTCGGTTTTCAATTTACTTAACCTTTTAAAAGTTATTTTAACTTTTATTTGTGTGTGTGTGTTATGGGCATATTGTTTGCAGTGCATTCTGTGTGCCACATGCATGAAGTGCCCGGGAAGGCCAGAAGAGGGCGATGAATTGCCCACCATGGATTTATGGATGGTTGTGAGCTGGGTGCTGGGAATCGAACCCAGGTCTTCTGCAACAACAGCTAGTGCTCTTAGGCACAGAATTATCACTCCAGCCTTGATTTACTCCCCACCCCCAAACAGGGTTTCTCTGTGTATCATTGATGTCCTGGAAGTCTCTTTGTAGACCAGGCTGGCCTCAAATTCACAGAGCTAGTTCCAGGACAGCTAGGGCTACACAGAGAAACCCTGTCTCAAAACAAAAACAAAAACAAAAAAATTATTAACATGTGCACGTGTCCTTGAGTGTGTGTATATGTGTGTCAGGGGACAAGTTTGTGAAGTGAGCATGATAACCACTACACTACAGAAACACAGTGGGGGGACAAGTCTGTTAGGCACCAAAGCCCAGAGTTGCTAGACTTAGTAGAGCTGAACTGCACAGGCATCTAAGAAGCTACATGAGGTGGTTTGTTGTTTCTGTGGTTTAGGGTTGAAATATTGGGCATTGGAGGGTCCTGAATGTGCTAAGCAAGAGTTGTACTGCTGAGGTACATAGCCCACTCCTTACTTTATTAATTTTTGTTTATGAGAGAAGGTCTCTCTCTTTTTTTCTCCCTTCTTTCTTCTTTTTTAAAGCAGGGTCTCGTTAAGTAGCCCTCGCTGGCCCGGAACTTTCCGTGTAGACCAGATTAGACTCAAACTCACAGAGGTCCTCCAACCCAAGCATCCAGTGTGCAGAGATGGCAAGCATGAGATGCTATGCCCAGCTTAAACAGTCATTCTAAGAAAGGAACTCTCTCATTCTCTCTCTGTCTCTGTCTCTCTCTGTCTCTCTCTCTGAACTCATGGTAATCTTCTTGGCTCAGTCTGTGTGTTGGAAGCAAAGGTCTGAACCACCACCACCACCACTGGCATGTTTCACCTGCTTCTAAGTGACAGTGATGACTGTTTTTGCAGAGAAACTCTTTTTTTCCATGCCCAAGCGAGGTGATGGCCAAGAACCTCCATGGTAGCTTGGCCTTGGAGATTCTCTTGCCCGATTGCTCTGCCATAGTCATGCTGTTTGGTGCAGATGGTCTTCAGGCACATAGAAATGGAGGAAGCTCCCAGCACTCGGGAGGAAGAGGCAAGGGGATGTCTGTGAGTTCGAGGCCAGCCTGGTCTACAGAGAGATTTCTAGGACAGGCTCCAAAGCTACACAGAGAAACCCTGTCTCGAAAAAACACAAATAGCAAAAAACAAACAAACAAAAGAGGAAGTCAGCAGGGCATTGGTGGGTGCACGCCTTTAATCCCAGCACTCGGGAGGCAGAGGCAGACGGATCTCTGTGAGTTCGAGGCCAGCCTGGTCTACAAAGTGAGTTCCAGGACAGCCTCCAAAGCTACAGAGAAACCCTGTCTCAAAAACCAAAAAAAGAAAAAAAAAAAAAAAAGAAATGGAGGAAGCTGCATTTTGGCCTGGGAACTGTAGTTTGCATGGGGCCCAGTGATTTTCCCCATGGGGCAGAGGGGGCAAGTGTCACAGGCACCAGATGAGGTAGCATGTTTTCTTCCTTAAATACAGTCTGAAGTCGGGGTGTGGGAAGCATGGGGGTGGGGAGCCGGATGTGGTGATACATGCCTGTCATACTAGCTTGGGAGACTAAGGCCAGTCTGAGACCAGTCTGGGCTACATGGCAAGACCCTGCCTCAGAGAAGAAAAGAAGGAAGGAAAGAAAGAGCATAAAATAAAAAAAAATAAAAATAAAAAAGTTCACTCACAGCATAGTTTATTAAAATATCCTCTTTTTTATTACTTTTTTATGATTTTTAAATTATTTTGACTTGTCAAATAATGTAACATGAAACTCATTTGCTGTCTTCAGTTTATTTTTGAGAGAAAGTTTCACTGTGGCCTGAAACTCACCATGTAGACCTCAAACTGGCCACAAACTCACAGAAATCAGCCTCTGCCTCTCTAGTGCTAGATTTATTGGCTTATTTAAAAATGTTTATTTGGGCTGGAGAGATGGCTCAGAGGTTAAGAGCACTGACTGCTCTTCCAGGGGTCCTGAGTTCAATTCCCAGCAACCACATGGTGGCTCACAACCATCTACAATTCAGTCTGGTGACCTCTTCTGGCATGTAGGCAGAACACTGTATATGTGATAAATAAATAAATCTTTAAAAAAAATGGTTTTTTTGGGGGGGAGTTAAAGGCATGCGCCACCAGCGCCAGGCTTTTTAATCCTAGCACTGGGGAGGCAGAGGCAGGCAGATCTCTGTGAGTTTCAGGCCAGCCTGGTCTACAGAGCGAATTCCAGGACAGGCTCCAAAACAATACAGAGAAAACTGTCTCAAAAAACAAAACAAACAAAAAATGATTTTTAGATTTATAATTGTACATCGTGTGTACCTGTTAGATCCCCGAACTGGGCTTGCATACTTTTGTTGAGTCATCGTGTAGGTGCTGGGAACCTAACTGGGGTCCCTTGCAAGAGCCATTGCTCCAACTGCTGTACCTCCACATCTGCCTACTTTTTATTTGTATCTTTTTAAGTTTGTTTGTTTTTAAACCATAGTGGGATGGACCTCAGGGCTTGGCTCTTACTGGGCAAATGTGCTTTACCATTGAGTGGCTTCCCCAACCCTCCTTTACCATGTTCAGGTTAATTGTTCAGGACACCGAGTTCATTCACATAATCTTTTTTTCTACAATTTTATTTTTTTTGAGGTGGGGGCAGAGCTACACAGAGAAACCCTGTCTGAAAACCAACCAACCTCCCCCCCAAAGAAAACCTGGGTTTTGTTTGGTTGTTTTTTTCCTTATTCTCGAGGCAGGCTAGTGAGTGAGCAAGCACACTGCTCTCCTAATCCCCCTCCCCCATTTTGGTTGTTTTTGTTTGTTTGTTGAGGTAAGTTCTCGGTGTAGCCCTGGCTGTCCTGGAACTCACTCTGTAGACCAGGCTGGCCTTGAATTCCCAGAGATCCACCTGCCTCTGCCTCTTGAGTGCTGGAACTAAGGTCCTGGCTTTGTTTATTCCCTGGATTCAAGATGGGTGAAACCCTTCAGCCACCCACAGCTACCCAGGAAGTGACTCCAGAAGTCCTGAGTCAGCATTATATTAAAAAAACAAAAAGAGTATGAGGAATGCCTTTGTTTTTTAATGATTTGGGAAAAATTCCACTGTCCTGTTATCAGCAGAGAGAGGTCTGAACTGTATGTACCCTGATACACTACTACTGAGACAATGGAATGTAGATTGGGAGACTAGAAACACAGCCCCATTGTGACTGTGTCCCAGGGGAGTCATGTGGATCTTCATGTTACATAACACATGTAACTTGTGACTGTCTTGGTTCAGTATATTGTCATGGGTGGTTTTTGGTGCTGGGGATGGAGCCCCGGCTTCAGACGTGTGAGGCGGGTGTTTGCCTGTGTCTCCTTTCTTTGCAATGCACTGATTTTCATGTGTTTGGGGGTTTTGCTTGTGTGCATGTATGTGCACCAAATGTGTGTGCCTGATACCTTCCGAGGCCAGCAGAGGGTGCTGCATCCTCTGGAATTGGAGTTACAGATGGTTGTGAGTAGCCATGTGGGTGCTAGGTGCCCAGTCTGGGTCCTCTGCGAGAGCAGCAGTTACACTTAACTGGAAAGCCATCTCCCCAGCTCTGTACTCTGGCTTTCACTGATAAATCCCATCCCTTCTTGTTATCTATCATTTCCACATTCAGGTCCTCAGTCTGAGCAATAGCACCTTCAAACTTTCATTTAACCACCTCCACTCCTCTGTTAATGTGATGTACTCATTGGTCATACTCCCTCTGTAACTGCCTGGGTCCTGCTGCTGTCTCTGCCCCCAAATAACAGATGAGACACTGTTGGCCGTTGGCTATGGTTTCTTAATGGCTAGCTCTGACTTAATTATTAACCCATAATTACTGATCTATATATTTTTACAAGGTCTTATCTTACCGAGGATGCCAGACTTGCGTTCTCTCCTCCCAGGATCACATGGCGACTCTCTTGACTACGTTTCCCAGAATCCTCCTCGACTCCTAGTCCCACCTGTCTTGCTTCCCTATTGGCCAACAGAGCTTTATTTATACCAACCAGACAAACATATACACAGAAGGACTTCCCCCATCACTTTCTCTGCTCCAGCCTGAGGAACCCTGGGTCTCCTCTCAGGGAATGGCACTTTGCCAGACCTCCAGCCAAGCCTGGTCTCAGCTCACAGGGCACCTGGGAGCCACAGAGCCGACCTTTCCCATCAGGGGTGGGTGTGGTCCATTGTAGTAACTGACCGTGTCAGCATGCTGTCTTTCAGGTGAACCTGGGACCGGACAAAATGGTAGTGGATCTAACCGACCCAAACCGGCCGCGCTTCACTCTGCAGGAGCTGAGGGACGTGCTGCAGGAGCGCAACAAGCTCAAGTCGCAGCTGCTGCTGGTGCAGGAGGAACTGCAGTGCTACAGGAGGTGGGCTCCCTGCAGCAGCCTAGGGTGCTTGATGCTTTACACACCGGCTCCTGTGTTCACTCACCCAGGTTACTGAACACCCATCTGTGCCAGGCACCAAGTGTATATATAGCTGCACGGCACTGGATGGCAAAAAGCCCTTGAAAGTGTAATAGGGAGACGTGACCATGAGAAGTCCGGCCAAGTGGCCAGGTGGTGGCAGCAGTGCTGCACACCTTTAATCCCAGCACTCGGGAGGCAGAGGCAAGGGGATGTCTGTGAGTTCGAGGCCAGCCTGGTCTACAGAGAGATTTCTAGGACAGGCTCCAAAGCTACACAGAGAAACCCTGTCTCGAAAAAACACAAATAGCAAAAAACAAACAAACAAAAGAGGAAGTCAGCAGGGCATTGGTGGGTGCACGCCTTTAATCCCAGCACTCGGGAGGCAGAGGCAGACGGATCTCTGTGAGTTCGAGGCCAGCCTGGTCTATAGAGCCAGTTCCAGGACAGGCTCCAAAACAATACAGAGAAACCCTGTCTTAAAAAAACAAACAAAAAAAATCCAAAAAAAAAAAAAGAGGAAGTCCAGGTTGTGTGTGGCTTCAGACGTGTGAGGTGGGTGTTTGCCTGTGTCTCCTTTCTTTGTAATGCACTGATTTTCATGGAGTATAATCCTTGTACTCCAGAGGTGGAGCCTGGGGATTATAAATTCAGAGACTAGTCTGTGCTACATGAGACCCTCTCTGTACAAACATAAAGAAGTTCATCCATGTCTGGTCATGCATACCTGTAATGTCAGTAAGGGTGGAGGACCATGGGTTCAAAGCAGCCTGGGCTGCATAGTGAGACCCTGATTGGAAACAACAATGGTCAGCTTGGTAGAACACCCCTTTAATACCAGCACTCAAGGGGCAGGGGCAGGCAGGTCTCTCTAAGTTTAAGGCCAGCCTGGTCTACATAGTGAAACCTTGTCTCAAAGCACAACAACAAATACCTTATTTTATTTATTTTTGGTGTCAGGGGTGGAGTTCGAGGCCAGCTGTGTACTAAGCATGTGCTGTACCACTGAACCATAACCCCAGAAAAGAGAACCGCAGGACAACTATTTGTCTCTTCTCTCCCATTTGCCCAGTGGTCTGCTTCCACCCAGAGAAGCTCCAGGAGGAAGAAGAGAGAAGGATGCTGTGGGTACCATGGGCAACAGTGACAAGGAAGAGAGGACCATCATGAAGAAGCTGTGAGTCACCCAGATGCCCCCATGACCACTAGATCATGACTGTGAGGTGTGTGGGAAGCTTGCCAGCCCTAGGATGGGAGGTTCTCTTCTTCTGGCATGTGGCTGCAGCCAGTAGAAAAGCTTCATGCCATTTAGTTTTAACTGTAACCAGTTTCAGGAAGAAGTCTGAGCATGGGACACATCTTGCCAGTCTGCCTTGAATGAGAATCTGACTCAAGAACTTTGAGCCATAATGTTATTAATGCTGTTACAATTATTCATAGGGTCATTTCCCAAGATTTCACCTAGGCATGGAAAACCAGGATCCAAAAATAATTAATGGAATATTCCAGAAATAATGAGGTTTCAGGAGGGTATGGTAGTGTACACCTTTAGCCTCAGCACTCAGGAGGCAGAGGCAGGCAGAGCTCTGTGCGTTTGAGGCCAGCTTGGTCTATAGAGTGAGTTCCAGGACAGCCAGAGCTACACAGAAACCCTGTCTCAAGGGAAAAGACAAAGAAAACCAAAGAAATAGTTGAGTTCCCAAGTTTCCAATTCATGCTGTTGCCCCCCACCATGTCCAGTCTGGGATAGGTATCATCTGATTGTCTTTTTTCAAGCTAGGCTGCCACACCCTCTGCCCAGTCATCATGTAGCCATCTCGGTCATGGGTCAAGGGTGGCACCCTGGCAGAGTCTGTGCTCTAGTGAACCTCCTGTTAATAGTGGCCTCAAGGCAGGAGAGCCTTTTGCTGGCAACTTGGTATGCCAAGGAGAATCTATCGATAAGGTATTTCTCTTTTTTTTTTTTTGTTTTTCGAGACAGGGTTTCTCTGTGGCTTTTTGGAGGCTGTCCTGGAACTCGCTTGGTAGTCCAGGCTGGTCTTGAACTCAGAGAGATCCGCCTGCCTCTGCCTCCCAAGTGCTGGGATTAAAGGCGTGCGCCACCAACGCCCGGCCCGAGGTATTTCTCTTAAATATAAAGAGGAAACTTGGTGATGGGCATATGGGTAGCAGTTATGAGCACTTGTTGCTCGTATACTCTGGCAGGGTGTCGTGGGGTTTCTGTTCTGGGGATGAGATACTGTGGGCAAATGCAATTTGGGGAAGGAAGTGTTTATTTACTCCCATTTCCATATAACTGTTCATCACCAAAGGCAATTAGGACAGTGTTGTGTGAAACAGCTTTTCCTGGTGGGGAGATGAAACACAGGGCTACTCACTCTGGAGAGGGGCCGGGTGTTGGTGGCGCACGCCTTTAATCCCAGCACTTGGGAGGCAGAGGCAGGAGGATCTCTGAGTTCGAGACCAGCCTGGTCTACAGAGCGAGTTCCAGAACAACCTCCAAAGTCACAGAGAAGCCCTGTCTCGAAAAAAACCAAAAAAAAAAAAATCTAGAGTTCAGTCTGGTGAGATCCTAAGCAGAGGGGCCTGGTTAACCCACACCTTGACTCTGACCCACCCCCAATGGCTGGACCATCCCACATCATTCACAAATTAAGAATATGTCCTACAGGCTTGCAGTACAGAACCAATTTCTCTCTAGAAGGTCACTTCTCAGCTAACTCTAGCTTGTGTCCAGTTGACGTAGAGCTCAGCACACAGGGAACACGTTTAATCAGCAGACCCCCTGAATTACACACGGTCATAAGCTCTGTATGTGCTCTATAGTCCCTAGGGTTTCTAATTCTAGCAGAACCCTCCGCCTTTGAGACGTTGACACACACTCCTCCGTCTAGTCTAACGGCAGTGCTGGTGCCCTAAACTCTACCTCCTAAGGCTATGAAGCCCACTCGAATTCCCTAAAGCCTATGTTTCCCAACATGAAAATGAGGGCGCTAGAACCTTCTATCACAGGGGACTAAGTGATCACACACTGCTCTCTTTTCTTGGTTTCTCCAGACAGGGTTTCTTTTTTCTCCTTTTTTAAAAAAATATTTATTTATTATGTATGCAATGTCCTGCCTCCATGTATGTCTGTCAGTGCTCTTAACCCCTGAGCCATCTCTCCAGCCCAGGCTTCTCTCTGTAGCTTTGGAGCCTGCCCTGGAACTTGCTCAGTAGACCAGGCTGACTTCAAACTCACAGAAATCTGCTTGCCTCTGCTTTTTTGTTTTGTTTTGTTTTTTTTTGGACAAGGTCTTACTGACATTTACTATGTAGACCTGCTGCCTGGTCTTTGAAATGGGTAAACTAAACTCAAGGGCTTCACATCTAATAATTTAGAAATAACGGGACCAGGTCCTCATTCAGCCCCCTGATTTAGTAACCATGACAGGATACAGAAAAGACACATAGGCCTCTGACACAAGGAAACTCCAGGTCCTCTGGCCTCCCGGAGCCTAGGGCCAAAAGTGGTCACAAAGAAACTCCAGACACCCCTCCCCACAGCCTCCTAGATGCTTGGTTCCTGGGAACTGTTTGGCCACAAAACAAACTCCAGGAGGGACCAAAACCTCCCCTGTAGTCTCCAGGATATAGTTCTGAAAACTATTGGTATCAATGTACAACAAGCCACCTGCAAGTAACAAGACAAAGTCATAGAAACCACAGAATATTCCCTCTCGGCACTGACCAGTGAAAATAATTGGTACACAGGTATTTTGTGCCAAAATATGACTTTGAGAAATTCTGATTGTTCCCAAATGTCAACCAATCAGAAACCAACCCATACCTACTGATGCAATCTGTAACTTTTGTCTTTAAAACCTAGCAGTAGACAGGGAACCTCACTTCCTCTGGAGGCTGCTGGGACAGCTAGCCAGACGGGGTACCTGTCATGGTTGGATGAACAATCATTAAACCTTGCTTTTGCAATTTAGTGGGTCTTCCTGGTAGTCTCTAGGGACTTTGCAATTTGGGCACAACAGTCTTTTTTTGGGGGGGGTTTCGAGATAGAATTTCTCTGTGGCTTTGGAGGCTGTCCTGCAACTCACTCTGTAGTCCAGGCGGGTCTCAAACTCACAGAGATCTGCCTGCGTCCGGCTCTGGAGTGCTGGGATTAAAGGCGTGCACCACCAACGCCTGGCGGCACAACAGTCTTGAACTCCTGCCTACTCAGGAGATTGTCTTAAGTGCTGGGATAAAGACGCATCACCATATTTTACCATATTTTGTTTTTAATAATAAATTACTTTAATTAAAATCTATCCTTTCTCCCTTACCTTTCCTTTCCTTCCTTTGACCCTTTCCATGCGTTCCCCCCACTCCAGCTGCTCAATGATATAGGAAAGCCCACTTGGGGGCTCTTCCCTGGGGAAGACTTTGTGTCTGTGCCCAGCATTCCTTAGTTGACATCTACATTAAAAATTTTTTTTGTTTTTTTTCTTCAGGTGGTGTTAGTGCACACCTTTAATCCTCACACTTGAAGCAGGGAGATCTCAGTGAGTTCAAGGCCATCCTGGTCTATACAGTGAGTTCCAGGACAGCCAGGAATGTTACACAGAAAAACCCTGTCTCAAAAATCCATCCCCCCAAAAAAGTGTTTTTGCTTTTGTTTTTGGAGACAGGGTATGTCTACGTAGCCCTGGCTGTGCTGGAACTCACTGTGTAGGCCAGACTTGCCTTGAGCTCAGAGATTCACTTCTCCTGCCTCACCTTTGCCAGGACTAAAGGCGTGCATGGGCCTGTACTCTACAGATTAATCACACACCCTACCCCTGAACTGAACCCCCAGCCCTCTTTGGATTTTGCGTTTTGAAACGTTTTTGAGACAGAATCTCACTAAAAGTTGCCCAGGCTGGCCTTGATCTACTGATCCTCCTGCCTCCACTCCTCAAGTGCTCAGATGATAGATGAGCAGCTCCCACTACACCTCAGCTCCAAGTCCCATTTAATCAGACACGTGGAACACATGGACCTCTAACCCAGCCAGTAACAAGACCATACTCACAGTGAGCTCTGCTTTCTGGAGAGACTGGGTATTCTCCCTTTCCTGTATGCTTAGTCTACATGGAGTCTCAAGAAGGCAGGAACCACTGGTTTCTTTCAGCCTCCTCTTTGGGAGTTCTTCAAGCCAATTCACTGGCACTTAAGCCAAATAAGGCAAAAGTAAGATGTCTGTGGTCAGGAAGCTGCATATTCACATCTGATAAGCTCACTAAACTGGTGGAAGGAATGAGGGGACAGGTGACTTTGAATAAATATGCCTGGCTAAGAAGAATTTTCATCTTTGTCTTGAGAATGAGGAGCCAGGGAAGGGCTCTGTGTCCTGTGCGTGGACCAGGGCCAGCAGGGTGTTTGTGTGTGGATACTCATCTGTGCCTTGGGTGGTTATCAGGCTTTTGTTTTTTTGAGACAGGGTTTGTCTGTGTAGCTGAGATTGTCCTTAACTCTGTAGTTCAGACTGGCCTCAAACTCAGAAACCCACCTGCCTCTGCCTCTAGCGTTCTGGGCTTAAAGGCATGCACCTCTACCACCGGGCACATTTATTTCTAATTTATTTGGTTGTTCTCATGCCACAGCACATGTGTGCAGGTCAGACAGCAAATTATAATAGATGCTCACCTTCCACCACGTGGATCCCAGAGATCACACCCAGGCTGTCAGGCTCGGGACAAGTGCCTTTACCCACTGTAACATAGGCTTCCACAGCATGCAAGAGTTGATTTCACCATACTCTCTTCCTTTTTTCCATCTACCCAGGTTCTTTTTCCGGTCAGGGAAACACACCTAGATTGAAGGCCATGGCAAAGGCCTCTGACCCGAGAAGACAATTGTCAAGGTGTCTTCTGGAACCATCTTTCTGTGACATGTATCTGCTCTGGGCTGGCGACTCATTTCCCCCTCAGAATAGTCAAAGGAAGATGTTCTCACTGCTCCCTTGCTGGCTGGGGACAGACCTGGACAGCCACCATGCTTTGGCCAGGCCAGGCGAGACAACACCAAGAACTCCAGAATGTAAAGAGCATGGCCACATCCTGCCTCCACAGATGGAGAGGACTCTGGCCTGTTCCAGCCTTTGAGATGCTCTGGTCGTTAACGTGGGAAAATATGGAATTGACTTCGCTGATACTTGGTGAATACTTGATTTTTCTCATACAACTTTATATGACTTTTGTATTAAATAAAGACCTTTATACTTTCTATTACTATTTTGGAGTGGTCTCCTACTAAAGATGGTGCTTGTGCCTGTGGGCATACAGGGCATGTGTGTTTCATGGAACCCAAGTGAGGTGTCAGCCAGGGAGACTTAAGTCTCTGCAGACCGAAGGAAATGCCAAAGATCTGATTAGAAATGGACTACGTAAGCTTGTGAGCTCAAGAGTAGGGCAAAGTACTTTTCATTTTACTATGGAAGCAAGCAAAACATTAGGTGTCAGTCTCCTGGAACTAGAGTTACAGACTGTCACCACAGTCTGCCATCTGGATGCTGGGAAACTTCAGGAAGGGCAGAGTCAGTGCTTTTAGCTGCTGAGCCACCTTCCCAGTCCTCAGAGGACAGACTTTAGAGTTGTTTCTGGACTTTCAACCTTGTTGAGGTAGGGTTTCCCTTCTTTCTAATTTGCTGTGTACTCCAGGATTGCTGCCTCTGGAGCTTCTGGGGAGTGCTGCAGTCTCTGCTTCTATCTCCCTGACAGCCCTTCCTTATATAACCCTGGCTGGCTTGGAACGCAAGAGATCCAGCTGCCCTTGCCTCCCGAGTACTGGGGTCAGAGGTGTGTGCCCACACCTAGCTTTCTGTGTGAGTTTCAGGGATTGAACTTGACTCATCAGGCTTGGTGCAGCTGATGCTGGATATCCCTGGCTCACCTGGAACTATATAGAGCAGGCTGAACTTGAACTCATCGAAATCTCGATGAGCTGTAGGATTAGGGGTGGTAGTTAATGCTTTTAACAGAGAGCTATCTACATCCAGCTTAAAATACCAGAACTGGGAAGCCTTCACTAGCTATCAGCCTCTAGTGGGAAGTTTAAAACTATTTTTACTTACGAATATCTGCATTGATTACCATGTACTAGTTCAAGGGCCTTTTTAGTATCAATGCACCAAATCTGCCCTTAGTGCTCCTACTGCATCAGTGTTGGGCAGGAAGAAGCTGACATGTGACCACTAGGCCTCAGAATCCTCTACAATGTGACAATGACCAACGGATGAATCTTCGGAACACCCCTTGAGGACAATGGGCAGGCTGTCCTTATGATAGACATGATGTCTAAACACCTAGTCCCAAAAGGTCACAAATACTGAAATAACAAAGCTAGCTGACATAACGTGTGCCTGGGACAGATGCAGATCTTAAGAGTCAAATTTACAGCTACGAATGGTGGTGCACGCCTTTACTCAATATCCGAGGAGGCAGAGGTAGGGGAGGAATCTTGAGTTCCAGACTGTCAGGGATATCATACAGAGGAACCCTGTCTTGGAAAACAAAGTCAAATCTACTGAATTTGAAATGACAAAGGAGCTGGTGTGGGGATGCATACCCAAGGTTCCAGCATTAGGGTGAGGGAGGCATAAATAAGTATCAGGTTCAGGGTTATACCCGACTACTATACAGCAGGACAGCCTGGGATAGACCTCAAAACAAGACAATGATGGCAATCTCACTTGCTAACCTTTTTAGGATTTGCTACATTGCTAGTCATTACCCAGAGGCTCCACACACATCAAGAACCTTCCCAAGAGCCCTCTGAACCTGCATTTTATATAGGCTAAAGATTCTAAAAAACACCCTATATGAAATGACAGACTATGGACACCCCCAGGGAGGGCCTCACCCTCCCTGGGGAAATAAGGGATAATGGGGGGGGAGGGCACGGGAGGAGGGGAGGGAAAGGGAGAGGGACCTGGAACTGACTTGTGAAGCCACCTTGTTTCTTATCTAAATTTAAACTGAAAAAAAAAAATTCTAAAAAACATGCTTGAATTCTGACTCTCTAGGACAAACCTCAAAGTTGAGTTTCAGCAGCATGTTAGAATCCATGGTCTTTTTAATATTTCTTTATGCACCATAGTATGTGTAAAGCTCAAAATATAATTAATGAGAATTGGTTCTCTCCTTCTTGGGGGGGGGGGAATGGATCAAACTTAGAACCTTTACAGGCCAGACATGCCTTTTTAATCCTAGCACCTGGGAGGCAGAGACAGGCGTAACTCTTGAGTTCAAGGCCAGCCTGGTTTACAAAGTAAGTTCCAGGACAGCCAGTTCTACTACAGAGAAACCCTTAAAACCCCCCCTCAAAAAGCCTTTTCAGGTTGAGCCTGCCATCCCCATACCCTCTGTACCTCAAAAAAAACCAGAACACATAGGTGGTCTTGCCTGGCAATAAATATTTTAATTTTTTTGCTTTATTTTATGATGACAAATAGTTTTCAAGTTTATTTCCTTTTTTGTTTGCTATTTAAATACAAAGCTAAGCCACAAACAGGTACAACCAAGACATTTTATCTCACAGTTACACCCTCCTGTCGGATCCTCCTCCATGTCTGACCACTGACCAGGCTAGCAAGGGGTGTGGGGAAGACTTTCTTAGGTAGCACCATCATGAGGCTGGGGGCTAGGGGGAGGTGTTGGGGACAAGGGTAGGTTCTCATACCTGGCTCCAGAGCCCCAGCCCCTAGACTGAAGGTGAATGGCGAGAACTAGTCCTTCCCAGGGAGAGAAAGTCACTTACATCTGCTATCACAGAAAAGAACTTAACTGTCATCCTGGCCCTCTGGCTGCCAGCACCTTCCCGTGACACTCAGCAGGTAGAGAACTTCCCACGCAGCAGAATCGGGGTTGTGGATGGGGTATGGGCTTAGTAATTTCTGGTCCCACTACAAAACCTTACTTTTGATTAAAGTACCATCTCAAATCTTCTCTACACAAATCAGCCAGCCAAGCCAAAAAGATAAAAATAAAGGAACCCCAGGAAAAAAAAACAAAACAAACCCAAAACAAACAAACAAAAAAAAGCAGTCATTTCACTCCCTTCAAAACCTATATACATATAAGTTGTTTTCTGTGGGTTTTTTTCTGTTTTTTTCTTTTTTTTTGATTTTTTTAAAGTTTTTTAAATTATTTTTTTAAAATAAATTCAGTGTTCACATTTCTATAAAGAATTAATGCAGTTTCAGGAGACCCGCCCCACTGGGGCAGGAGAACAGTGCTTTTCCCGGCTTGCCTCTAGTCTGACTGCCCACCCTGATGCTTCGAGGTGCCTGGAAAAGCCAAAAGCCTGTGAAGAGGTCTGTTCCCAGCTGGGCCTCCAAGCCCCGGGGTCAGTAAGCTTTGGAGAAAGCAGAGGGGAAGACTAGCTTACTGAGAAACCTTTGTAAAAAATATCCATACACGTCAAAGTGTATGCCTATCAAGACGATGAGGAGAACAAGAGCTTGGAGACATCCCGTCCAGGCTGTGCGTGGGGGGTGGCAGCACCCTCACACCCGCCTGTCCTTGGACGTGGGGTGTGGGGGAGTCCTGGCTTTCATCTTGGGCAGAGCCCGGCTTCCTAGTTCATGTTCGACTCCAATCTCTAAAACCACCTGTGCCGAGTCCTAGACTGCGCGGGAAGCACAAACGTTCAACTTGTATGCAAAAAGGTACAAAACAACTAGAATATAAAAGTTTTGGTAATATAAGGCCATCTGTTCAAGTCCACCTTGGAAACCTGTAACAGATATTTAAATACTACATCAAAAGGCATCTTTAATATATTTTTTAAAAACATTTGAAGTAATTAGCTAAGAGTAAGTGTGTAAAAAAAAATCGTTTCCCTTTGAGGGCACTTTGTCCTTTGAAGGAGGCAGGGTGGCAGGGAGGCAGGGAGGCCACATGGTCAATGCTTCAGCCAAGGGTAGGCTTCGATGGAGGCCTTGCTGCGGTCGCCGTAGTCATACAGGAGCTCCTCCCCAGCTGCAATGTCTCGGGAGGCGATGAGGATGAGGTGAGGCACGCCATCGATGTCGTGCAGTTTGGTCTGGCAATTCCCACACTTACTGTGGTTGATGAGCCTCCCCAGGCGGTTAGTCTCTCGAGTGGCGTCCACGCTGGTTGACAGGAGAGCAGAGGGTTACACTGATAAGGGAGCTTCTAACCTTGCTGGGATCTCCTTCCATAGGCTCTGGTGGGATGCGGACTGGCAGCCTCACTTGGAGAAAGGCAGTTTAATTCCAAAGGCTACTTTGGAGAATCTATAGAGTTCTGCATGGAGAGCTTGGAGACAGACCCCAAAGAACTCTTTTGGAGCTGAGGTACATTAAGTGTAATGTTTCAAAATGCATAAATGGATTAAAAATCAGCTCCCCTGACCTCAGCCAGGAAGGAGCAATTACTGTTTTGCAGAGTTACTGGGGCAAATGCCCAGAGGGAGAGAGGCCTTGGGAGCTGCCTAGCAGGTTTCTGGGGGACACGTCCCCTCCTGCCTAAGGATAACTCCAACCCCAAAAACTAACTGGGGAGGTGAAAGGAGTTTATCTTACTGGACATGGCACTTCACGATTGCAATCCTAGCGCTCAGGAGGCTGATGAGTTTGAGGCCAGCCAGGGCTACATAGTGAGATTTGACCTAATGGTAACAAGTAAGGAAGCTGATCAAAGATTCAGGAGTGGCCCAGGGCACCCAGCTCTGTCTGTCTGTCCTTCACTCAGTGTACTCACCAGTAGGTTTTGCTCAGATATTGAAAATAGTACATGTAGCATCCTGTGGAGGGATCTTGTGCATACAGAGCCTCCCGCTTCTTGGCATCGGTGATCTCAATGAGGTCCCCATGGTATTCTACCACAAAGTCTCCCCTCGAGAACTGCTTGGTGGCAATCACACCTCTGCCTTTTCCATCAATGAGATCAATCTGTCAGGAGGTGACAAGACCGCATGAGTTCATAAATATGTGACAGCCGTCACTAGGCATGGTGTCTTCCAGGGAGCTTGGAATACATTTTTTTAAATCAGCTTTAATGGATGGGCTGCAATAAAATAAAGTCCATGCTGGCGGCAGTGGTAGCACACACCTTTAATCCCAGCACTCAGGAGGCAGAGGCAGGCGGGATCCACAGAGCTAGTTCCAGGACAGCCTCTAAAACAATACAGAGAAAGCCTGTCTCGAATCTCCCCCATCCCCCACGCACGCACAATAAAAGTACTGGGTCACTCCCATCCTA